GTCTCAATGCTCTTCAGGAGTTCGATGAGAGGTTTGACATCTGCAACAGAAACACTCATCTTTTAAATCTTCATCATGTCGATGAAAGATATTAATCAGAATATCAGTAAATACGTACCGCCGCTGTACATGTCAAAGTGATCGGTCTTTATGACTTCTCCCGTTTTACCTGTTAAAAAAAGAAGCTTTAATATGACAGACAATTAACCAACCGCAAACAGGTTTATTGGTTCAGAACTCACCATTTATTATAGCAATGTTTATTCCGTATCCGGCGTTGTTCAGCATCGTTCCAAGAACCCTGCGAAATGTAAATAATAATCAACAATAAACGTGCGAGCAGAGGACAGACGAGATGAACAAAGTCTCAAGCCTCAAGTCTTGGATAAGTCCTGAGTCCAACAAGTCTAGCTCCTAAACCTTAACCATTCATTATGCACCACATTAAAGTTCATAAAACAGGAACCGTTAGCATAGACTAAGAGTAAAGACTCACTGAAAGCGAAATGGGAGAAAATTGCTTCACAAGGAATCGTGGGACTGTGGAAACACGGTGACCAGTGATGCCAGCTAAGCAGTTTTGTGGCTAGATTGAGCAACTTTTTAGACTACACAGGAAACTTTCTTTTGAAGAAGCACCTTTATTTGGACATTTTTAGCAACTTTTGAAAAAAAAAATCTAAACAAACACATTTCCAAGATGGCTGCTCGATTCAAGTAATGTTGTTGTGTATTCAATGTAATGAAGTCATTACACAATGATGTCGTTAAAAGCAGTGAAGCAAACAGGAAGTGTTTGAGGAGAAGAGGGAGTTGAAGACCTACACTTTTTTCTGGACGCAGATCTTTGGACCCACAACGTTAGCCGCTCCACTGTGGATGGAGAAGCTGAAATTATCCTCTGGACAGGTTCTGTGGACACACGGTCCGGCTGAAGAGGAAACATTGATTAATCCCCCATCAGATCAACTTCAACCTTCGTCCTGATCAGGTTTAATCAATCACTAACCTGACTGTTTAAGAGGCACCTTGGAGGGCCTACTGAACATGTCTGCAGGTAAAACCTGCCGCCAGTCTGCTGGAAAAAGTTAAATCACAGAGATGTTTGAATCAGCATAGTAAAGCTTCAACAGTCTGAGTTATATAATCAAACTGGGATCTTCCAGTGTCAAACTTTGAAAAGTCCCTGATGTATAAATTAGATTTTCTCTTCCAAATCAGTCTTTACGCAGACGATACTGTCTTATACCGTGCTGATCATCCATTTCATCACTGAACAACGCTCTTTTAAAGGAATAGTTTAACATT